TATTTTAATATCTCGCGATATCGCTAATAAAGATTCTTAATAGATAGAGATCGCTATATATATAATATATAAAGTTATAGCGAATTTAAAGACGAATATCTTATATATAGATTATTATATATAAGATAAAGCTAGTTATAGTATATAGAAAATCGTAATCTAGAGAAAGAGAAAGCGTTCTTATAATAATAATATAATAAATAATATTTTAATATTAATATAAATAAGATTAAATAAAAATTTAAGAAATTTATAATATATTAAATATAAGTAAAAATAAGGCGGAGAAGATAGGCGAAAAAAAGTCGATTTTAATTAGACTTTCTTATAAAGATTTATTATAATATCGAATAGTATCTTAATCGAGTAAAATAAAGAGATCTCTAGAACTTCGATATTATAAAGATATACGCGAGTCGAGAAAGATAGTAGATCTCTATGTCGAGTGTTGAATTTTGGCTATAATATTTAAAATAGTATTATTTCTTCGCGGAGATCTATAATACTCGTTTTTTAATTAATTAAATCGTTATAAAGATTATAAATACTCTAAATAATATTCTTTTAAATAATAGAAAGTTTATCGAGGTTATATTAGTCGATAATAAACTTTTTACGAGAAATAAAGCGGAGAAGAATTTCTTATATTTAATATAGAAAACTCGTTTTTTAATAGATTAGACTATCGTTAATAATATAAATTATCTAATATAAATTCTTTCGAATAATATAGATATCTTATAATTTAAATATATAGTAAAATTTCTATATAATAGAAATACTTAGCGTTTTCTTTATTAAACTTAATCGCTTACTTTAAGTAAAAAGTAAAAAACTTATTAATTCTCTTCGTCGAATAAAGAGGATATAAAAAAGTCTTATTATAATATTAAAACTAGTATAAATATAATATTAATATAAATAAAATAGAATTAAAATAATAAGACTATCGAATTATATATATAGAAAGAAGATATAATATAGTAGAAGATATCTCCGCCAAGACCCGCTAGTCATAGGGCTGAGGGATATGTTAAGGGTACGCTCGTAATAATATATATCTGTTTTTTGATTAGGGCTGTTCGGCTGTCCGCGATCTTTGGTGAGCGAACTTTGATAAGCGATATTTGAATTCCTTACGCTTTAATAATTATAAGACTAAATTTCAAAATTCTTAAAAATTCGAAAAGCATAAATAGCGCTTTAAAATTTAAAAAAAAAATATTAAAATTTTAATAGAAAATAAAAAAGTTATTCTATGAGTTAATAATATATATCTATTTTTTTAATAAGAGAGGCGCGGAAGGGCGAGATTTTGATAGTTACGAACGCTAATTTATTTATCTATAATATCTAATTAAAAAGCGTAGATCTATCGAATTTATAATTAGCTATATATATAAATTCAAGATTTTCTAGCTTAACTCTATCTTATTCTTTTATATATATTAATAAGATATTTCTTAATATCTCTTAAAGATATAGACTTATAATTAGAAAGAATTATAAAAATAAAATAAAGTTAAATATATATTTATAGCTTAATATCTAAATTATTTCTTAAATAGATTTTATTATAGTTAAATATAAAATCGAGTTTAACGAGTTTTATATAGAACTTATTAAAGAATTAAATTATCTATTAAAGAAAATTATAATTATATCTTATCTTTTTATAATAATTTATTTCTTTATAAATCTTAGCTAGTTAATTTATAATCTCGCTAATTAATATATAAAAGTTTATAATATTTTTATATCTTCTATTTAGAGTATAAGAAATCGCTTTTTTATCTATATATAATAAAAGATAAATAATTTAAAATAATTTAATAGAATAATAATTCTTATTACTCGATAACTTTTCCTTTATTTTAATTAATTAATTCTTTTATATAAGATTTTTATTATTAATAAAGAAGAGAGAATTCGATAATTTAATAAACTTCTCTTTTTTATAAATAAAAAGTAGAATTTAAGCGAGCTTTAGTAAGGTTAACGCTTATATCTTAGAGGTAATTTATAGATTTTTAAATATATTTAATTATATTATTATTAACTATTATCGAAGCTCTCTATTATATTCTTATAGCTTCTTAATCTTAATACTAACTTACTTTAAACGTTATTAAATCTTATTCTATTAATTTACTATCTTATTCTTTTTAATCTTAAAATTAATATATTATTTAGCTATATCTCGAAATTAATCTTATTAATAGCGAAAGTTACGAAGTATAATAAGAAATTAATTAAGCTTCTTATTAACTTAATTACATAATTAATTAACGCTAATAATCTATTATAAATTTATAATAATCGCGATATTCTTCGCTATATCGTTAAATAGTAAAAACTATTATTAATTAAATATCTAAATAAAAAGATTACTAACTCGATTTATCTTACTTAATTATATATTAAAAATAATAATTTTAAAATAAAGATAAGAGAGTTATATTATTTCTCTCAATTCTTTAATATTATAAATATTAAGCGAAGAAGAGAAAAGAAAAACTTCTTATAATATCTTTTATAAGACTTTACTATAAATTTAAAAAATAATATTATATTTTATAAAAACTTTTTTTCTTAGTTTATAGATTATTTAGACTATTATAAAAACTATAGATAATTCAAATATCGTTTTTTTAAATACTTTTACTTCGCTTAAAAGATTAATTATATAATTATTAAATTAAATAGCGATTTCTTTAAATTTACTAGTCGTATAAATTAATTAATTTAATAATTACTTTATTTCTCTAACTAATTATAAGACTATTACGCTATTTTAATAAATACTTTTTATAACGTATTATCTATATAATAGATTTACTTAGAAATATAATAACTTAACTTAATATCTTATTAAAGTCTTTATTAATAGATTTCTTAAATTTATCTACTAATTTAAATATAGTAAGTAAGATAACTTAGTTATAATATTAGAATCGATATAGATATAATATTAATATAGATATATTAAATAAGATAACTAGATATTAAATAGTTATATAGATAGAAGATATTAGATAATAATAGATAACTCTATTAAGATACGCTAGACTCTAATAGACTATAGAGCTAAATAATATATTAAGAGAGATATAGAGTACGCTCGTAATAATTATTATATATCTAAAGAACTTTTAAAGCTATAATACGTTATCTATAAATCTTATTATCGTCGTTAATAGTTTTAATTAATATCGACTATATAATACTCTATAAAGAAACTTATATTAGAATTATTTAATATTAATTTAAAGTTTTAACGTCTACGACTCGATTCGATTCGATAGATATCGATTAATTAGATTATATTATTTTATTAATTTCTTCTTTATTATATTAGATAGTTATTATATAATAAATTCTTTTTTAATTATTATCTATTTAATTTTTTATAGATTTTTATTAAATTAAAAGCCTCGTAATGCTATAATAAAGTACTATTAATAACGCGCTAATAGAATCTTCGAGATACGGTATTAATTATATTACTATTATTATCGCTATTAAAAAAAATATTAATTTAATCTAATATATTAATATTAAAAATTCTTTATTTTTATAGATTTTTAGCGAGTATAATATATATATATATAATAAAACTATTTAATTCTTTTAAAAGCCTATAGTAGATAAGTTAAACGAGAGAAGAATTTAAAGAATCTTATTAATATATAAATGAGATATAACTATATCTTTAAAATCTTAATTCTCTTTAGTTAAGGTTTATACTAATTATAAATATTTAAAGATATAAGATAAGTAATAAATATATATCTTTAATTTATTAGTTATAAAGACTATAGTTATTTAAGAGAGAGAAGTACTATTATAAGCGTATTCTTAATATATTACTTAGTTCTATAACTAGCGAGCCTTAATAGAAGATATCTTCTATTATATTATATCTTCTTTCTATCTATATAGTTCGATAGTCTTATTATTCTTAATCTATCTTATTTATACTAATATCGCATCTATGCTAATTCTAATAATATTAGAAATTTCTTTTAAAATTTAATTTTAATAATATATCTTTTATATCTAGAGACTTCGTAAATATAGATTTATTTTATATATTTCGAAGTTTTAATATTTCTTAGAGATTAATTTCTATTATTAAATATACTATTAAATTTTATAACGACTTTACGTCTTTTATAGTCTATATTCATTAGCTAATCGTTAATAAATTACGTCTTTATATATAGTCTATTTAGAGTTTACTTTATTTAATTATAGATACTTCTTTATCTTCTATTACTTCGATTAATTTATCTTTATATTAAGTAAATAAGTTTTAATATTTAGTTATTAAGATCTTTTTAGATTTTTATATTAATTTTATAAGTTAAAATTTACTAATTAATAGATTTCGATATAATAACTTTTATACGTTAGATTTTATTAGCTAGTATATTTTTAATAATTACTTTCTCTAATAAATTATTTAGAAATATTATTAATTTTTATTTAACTACGTCTTATAAATCGTAGTATTTTAAGATACTCTTTATCTTCTTTAATTACGACTAATAATTTTTCTACTTTTTAAACTTTAGTCTTTAGAAAATCTTAGATTTATATTAATATAGCTACGTATATATTAAATATCTACGTAATAATTATCTTATATAATTATTTATAGAAGTATAAAAAGTAAATAAAAAATATATAATAAGATTATAAAAATATTCGTTTAACTTCTATAATATTAATTTATTAAATAGATAGCTTTTTCTAATTAACGATATAGAGACTACGATAGCGAAATTTTAAGCTTATAATCTATTAGATAATATATATATTTAATAATCTTATATTATATAGAATAGTTATTCTATTATAATATTCTATGAAGGATATAAGAAGAACAGAGATAGATTACCTATTTATAGTGTAAAGCCTACGCTAAGGCTATTTGTTATTATGAGAAGTAGTTATAATACATATTTAGAACTTAGTAGTATAGCCATGCTGGCCTTCTATTGGCTGATTCCAACATCTACGATAAAGTGTTGTAGTGGTGGTGCATTTGCATGCTGTGACGCCCCAACCCATCGACATTCCAGCACGGGTTGTCGTTGTTCAAGTAAAGACACGTCGTCCGTATTTTCCATTGTGGCTTTTGCTGCAAGTCTCGCGTTGGCCGCAAGAGTCCCGGCTTCTTCGTCCGGTGCGCGGGCAAGACTCCGGAGGACCTGAGCGAGCCGGAGCCGAGCCAGTGCCACAAGGTCTCCGGCGCCGCCAATGATTTGAATGGAGGCGCGCAGTGACTTCTGCAAGGCGTCCCTGAGCTCGTTGAGTCAAAGGACCAAATTCTGATCGGGCGGAAACTTACTCTGCCAAACGAAAATCTTGAGATTCGGCATACAGCGTCCCGAGCGCATAGTAGCTTTGAGCGACTGGGATACTTGCTTCTTCAAATGTTGCTAAGCGAGCATTCAACACCCTATGGTGGAGGGTCAGGGCTTCCTGGAACCTGCCCACTTGCCGCAACACACATGCCAGCGGAAATTCTTGACTCTCCGTTGGATTTGTTGTTCCCCCCAGCGACAGTGTTGTACTCCCCTGGCGTGCACAGGACAGAGCTCTGATATGATTTCCCTTCATCATATGACACATCGCGATGCCGTACAGGACTTTCGCTTTGTCGAACGGCACTTCTTGTCCTGGGCGCCATTTACTGTGGACGTCCAGGCAATCTTCTAAAATGGGCAGGGCATCCTCGGCCAGGTCCGCGTCGAGCAATGTCGTCGCCAGATCAGTCCGCGCAGCCTGATAGTGGACCTCGTGTCTTCTGGTCAGTTCCTCTGGCTTGGTTCTCTCCTTAACTAGGGTCTGTAGATGTAGAGCTTGTTGAATGTGTTCCTTGCTTTTGTCTCCGAACTCCGTCCCCATATCGAGGAAGAGACGGCTCAGGATGGTGTGTATGCCAGCCTTCAGTCGATTATCTGACAATGTAGGGTCTACCAACCCGTCCAAAATCACTAGGCTTTCCTGCAGAATCTTGAGACCATGTTGGGGATGTGAACGCTGCTGCCAGGTGGCAAAGCCACAGTCGTACAGGAGCTCCGCAAAGTCTTCTTCCAAGGGAAGCCGAAGTTTTTTGGCGGCGGAAAGTAGTTTTTCAACATGACGGCATGGTTCAGAGACATCAGAAGCACACAAAGGTAATGGCTCGCGGAATGAAAGCGCCTTACGCATCCTGCGCCGCAGAAGATCAAAGGCCTTTCTGAAGATCGTTTGTCTGATTTGCAGGGACATGTTCCAAATTTGATACCGTACTATCATCTGGATTGTTGGGTTCATAACGTACACGGTCTCACCTCCTCTGTACTCTCTTCTGACGAGGCTGAACTGCTCCAGCTCCTGGCTCACCGCATGATTAGAAGTATCCCTGACCGTGTCAGCTTTCAGGAGGATCCTAATTCGAGAGGGTATGTACCTAGGTCTAGTGACGACGCCGATATTGTCTCGACTGCCGTCGAGCGAAGAAGATATCAAGGCATCAGAGAGCGAGTCCCCGTTCAAAAGTGACATGACGCAAATCGTATCGCGCGCTCTTGCCGACAAATCTATCAGCACGTCGTTATAGATAAGCTCTACCTTGCCTCCATCAGTGTTGATATTTCGAAATCTAATGTCCAGCCACGGTGGGCTCAGCTCGTCGTAGTCTCTCCAGAAGGTCGATTCAAAGTACTTGTAGGTGGCCATGAAATCCCCAACAAAGCGAAGAAATACCGGAAGTCCTCCGCAAAGATGAGATACGGCAGACTCTACCTCTGGGCAGCTTGAGGCCCTCACACAGCGTGAATCGAGCGTCTTTTTCAGGAAGTCGTCCCCCTGCGTCAATGAGAAAGGATGGATGATGACTTCGGCCCGAACTCCTGGACATTCGAGAAAAGCGTTTCTGGTTGTGACAATGATGGAGCCGTATCCGACTGTTGACTGCGGCACGAAGGGCGAGATATCTCGCTGATATTTCACATTGTCGAACACTAGCAGCCAGCGCATATCTCGAGATGATGTTAGTGAGTCGGGTATGGTCTCATACGAGGGAGCGTTTCGCATAGTACACATACTGCATTTTTCGAACCAATGCCTGACTTTTGAGATTCTGTCACCTTTATCGTCCTGGGAGAATAGCCCCAGATGTTCACCCAGTTCTAAGAAAAATGCGGATATGGAGATGTTGCTCTCTGCTGAAGCCCAACACACGATGTCAAAGCGACGCTTGTGGCTGTGAACATACTCTAGGACGGTTGCCGACTTCCCCACACCTGCTATGCCGGTTACAACGCACTGTGGCACGTCAGCTCGAGCCGTTTGGAGCTCTGGGAGAAGAGGTTCCATGAAATGATCTATTTTTCGCATCTCCTCCGCTCGACTAAAGAAGCCGGAAATTCTAATTGGAAGGAAGTAGATGGGAATGCTCGAGTTATAGCTCTGGTCATACTTCGGGTGAATACGAGGATACACCGATTCTGTGGCTGCATCTGCAAGCCATATGAGACTTAATTGAACGAGCTAGTTGGGTGTGTACTTCCAACCAAGTCACTGAAAGACTCACTTCGCGACGGTCCTTCAACCCTCAAATGATCAGGGACTACACTTGATGCTTGGACCACAGATCTCTCTGTGTCTGGGTGCCGAAGCGGACCGTGCCCAGCGTGGCAGGTCCCGACAAGCCTCCGGATGTGGCCCATGGTACGCTTGTAGCCCACATCTTCTCGGCTGAAAAACTTGCACATTCCACTATGATCTCCCGGCAACGATTCCCCTCTAATCCCAACTCCATCGAAGCAAGCCGAGTCTTGGCGGACAATCTGTGAACCAAATCAACGAGAGTCTGCCGCTTCTTCGCATCCGCACTCACTATGCCAAGCGTGGTTGCGCTCTCTTCGTACAGACAAACGATAGGGACCTGATCCCGGATTGTGGTGAATGTCTTGCGCTCTTGGTTGAGTGGCGCGGCATTTTCTCGCAGTGAGTTGAGCAGCTCTTTGTTCGGATTCCTCAAAGTCACCCGCGCGGCGTTAACAACAATGTCGACGTATGGCGTCTTGCCGCTGCCCCGATGCGGAGTTGCCATGAACACCACACCCCTCGTGTATTGATAGATCCTGCCAAGTTCGAGGCTCTCTTTGTGATTGTATAGCTGAGCAGATCGAATGAGTGCCTATTGTAAAAAGAAACAATGTATTAGTCCGACTTTTCTCGTCTGACCTGATAGCAACGCTCGGAGAAAGAAGACATCACCTCTTTGATCACCAACCCTCCTAGACTATGGCCGATGAAGATGATTGGGCGAATAGCCTTCTGAGCGTCAGCCGTCGCTCACGATGGAATAATCCTTTCAAAAGTACAGACCTGCTGTGGGGAAAGCCTCTGCTCCGCCAGATCGGACAGCAGGCTTTCCCCGTGGCCGAAAATGGAAACTTGACTGGCCGATTTGAGAAAATGTGCGACCCCGGAGTCGTACGCCCAAGACATGATGCGCACACGATCGATGTCTTCCTTCAGCAGGTCGCGAGGCCAGCAAACAGATCCTTTCGACCAGGTCTCGATCGGATCGCCTCTTAGCCCGTGGACAAAGACCAAATCTGCAAGGGTTGCCTCGCCTGGCTTGCCATCGTAGTGAACAGTCATAGCCATACTGAGCAAAAATGAAAGGAAAGAAAATGATTTTGCTTATTTAGATGTGAAATTGACATTGAGGAAAATCTCTTTCCTTGCCTATCGAAGTCTCGTGCCAATATGTGAAGAGGCTGAGGCCGCCAGCACTCACCGCATGACTAGTTTGAAAAAGTAATAATAAACGAACTTGACTGGCTCGGATTATTGGCTGCTCCGCGGTCCCACACCTCGCATTGGGGTCTGAGGCTTCTGCAGTGGCCCTTCATCTCTACGCACTGTCTATCAGGCTGCTGCTTTAATCCAAAGGGAAGAATCGGTCTGGGTCTGGGTCCTGTGCTGGCTCCATGCATTCCCAAGCCACGTTTTTCGCAGCTCGCCAAAAGCTCCCGTCGGATTCTGTCCTATCAAAACAGCGCTTGCCTTCTGCCCCATGGCGAAGATCCTGGGCATGGCAATCTTAATTCCAAAGCTGGTCGCCTACCGAGTGGGGTCCCTGGAAGATAGTGGTTGCGTGGGGGAATCCACCTTGAATACTATAGACAACAACCGGTCAGGGAATGTAGCGGCAAGACGAGCTTTCGCGATACAACGTTGTACATCTGAAGCTAATATAACATTGTTCTCCCACTAATTTATGGATGAATTGAAGAGTAATCCTATGTAGCAAGTGCAAGTCATTTCTTAAACCGCATATAGAATATGCAACAGTATTCCATGATTTCTGCATTGGCGCTGCATCCGAATCTGCGTCTCTAAAACCTTTACCCATGGACACTTGCCCCATAAGGTCATATGTGAGGCTGTCTATGTACTATGGATGAGTGAAGACCAGGGCCCTGACCTCGATACTCTCTCTTGGAGGCGCATTGTTAACAGTGTAAGAGTGAGGAAAAGCCGCGTGCGGCGCATCTGTCGTTCAACCCATCAGCTTGGATTGACTCGAAACCCCGGCGGGGAAAGGAACACAAATTGCCTCACAAGGAACAACTTCAGGCTCCGAATCGAAATTCTTGAAAAGAATAACCTCGTCGTCTTTCTGTCCACCCATGAAGTACCACCTCATGTTCTTGTCCGACAGGACATACAACGTGCATCCCGCGTATTGGCGCCTGACGTGATCGGTCTCTACAAGACTTTCCCCACACACAGTCGATCCGTCACAGATGGCCAACGGCCAGTCTTGGACCGGGCCCCGGATCGGTCGCCAGATGCTGGCGGACGAGTCAGCCATTGACAGCCCATCGAGAGACAAGGCATGAACGATTCTAGTGACTCACTTGATGATCCTCAAACGACCCTGCAACAAACGATCGGCTTCGTCCGGTAGGTGTAACTGCACGCGTCGAAGCGCGGCCGCCGGCGATTGGTCTGCCGGCTGATCAGAACCGTCATGGGAGATCGATAGTGATTGGCAACGTGCTTACCAATGTGGGCATGTGTCGCGGGCCCCAAAGGTTGGACCGGGTTGTTGAAATCGATCCTGGTGCCTTCGTACTTACGAAGATCGTTACACCGAATCTGAGGGTGCGGGAGAGTGTTAACGGATTGACTACGTTCGATGGTCAGGGAGGATGGATGGTGGTGACGTACCCTCCAGTCGAAAATGCAGACTTGATCCACACCTTCAATCGAGCTCTTCAGTAACTCCTCGCACTCTGGCAAGTAGGTTTCCTCGACAGCGTCCCGGTCATAAAAGCGAGACGCTTCGAGCGCGGTCCCGTGACGGAGGTAGCAGAAACCGTTCTTATCTAGAGAATAATCGTCTTCGTGGCCTCGAACATTCTTTATAACTGTCACCTCACCTTCTTCGAAGACGAGGTTGTGTTGGCGTTGGTCGGCGGCATCTTTCGGGACGTCAATGTAGATTTGAAAAGGCTTCTCCCTTTTGTATAGGTCCTGCCATTTGAGGAAATGAAGCCGGGTCTTTTCATCCGCAAAACTTAGATGATGAAGTTCCTCATCCATAGAGAAGGACTAAGGGTCTCAAAGATGTGTTGGGATGGGGTGGGAAGAGTAATAGTGCGGACAAAGCCGAGAAAATATTGGAACCCAGAAATGGGAATGTCGAAGCCGGGTATGCATGTGACTCTTGACAAGATTGTATCGATGATCACTACATTCCGAGTCACTAGTGCAATCGTTTGTAACAGGGAAGGAGCAGCAGTGTTGGTCCAGCTTTGGTGCGTCTGGTCGGTATTGCAGATTTTATGTCATTGATTCCAGTATGTGCTACCGCTACTCCCCCAAAAGTCCGTTCCCCCTACCAGCTCGCGAACATAGAATAACTAGCGGAATAGATAGCGGCGACGACTTTCCAAGCATGAACTTGCATCCACCAAGGCTGCAAGCCGAGCCCCCCCCCTCCATTACCCAATTCGTGGCCACTGCTTACCCGCTGATACGGGTTTGTATGAGCCACAGATTACTATTCGCGGTTGGCAGTTCAATGTGGCTTACATGGAAGATCTTTCGTACCGCCCTTGATCAAGCAGCCAAGCCATTAACCTGTGGGATTGCGGAGTTGTAGACGGCGTAGTCCGTCTCCTTGGTGACCTTGCTGTTCACAGTCTCGTCGCCAAAGGCCGTCTTCCACGGCTGCTGGCGCTGGTCGTTTTGGACATTGTGCGCAACCTTCTTAGCCCAGTCGTTCTTGCAATCACCGTTACTGGATTTAACACCCTGGACTTGAGGCATCGTGACGATGAAAGTGACGTTCTTATATATCCTTTGGTCCGAAAGAGTAGATGTTGTATAGGCCTAGTTGTACGTGAACCTTGTGAAGAGCTTTAGAGGGGAAAATCCAACCTTAGAGGATTGGGTGGAGGATTTATTGTTTTCCCTTTCTATTTCTCTTTCTCTCTAGGTATTTAATATTGGAAAGAAATGTAGAGAGGGGGGAGCCCGAGGCTTCGGAGCAGTGTGTTAGCTCTATCTTTGAAGAAAAATTGGTTGGAGAAGAATAAGAATCGACAGTCGATCAGACTGCGATGTGACGATAGTATGTGGAGAGCGAAGGCCTATCCACTAGAATAGGACGACGTAGCGTTCAAGCAATTAGAGACCCTCGCTATTTGTCCCTACCTATCTATCAGCTCCAGGAAAATAAGACATCACCTGCATAAGTGTTAGCTCTATCTGTGAAGAAAAATTGGTTGGAGAAGAATGAGAATCGACAGCCGATCAGACTGCGATGTGACGATAGTATGTGGAGAGCGAAGGTTTATTTACTAGAATAGGACGACGTAGCGCTTAAGCAATTAGAGACCCTCCCAGCTCCAGGAAAATAAGATATCACCTGCATGATTTGGTTTTATTCTGTGGCTCGCATATGCGAGACAACTTACGTACTACTTATTCATCCACGCACTGTCGTCTGATTCGTCAGCCAGAAAATGCAACGCACGCACGCAATAGATCGAATTTACTTTCCGCAGCTCCCCCCGCCCCGATATACGCGGTCTTCCATATCGGTAAGTACGGCATTTTTCTGAGTGAGGCATTTTTCCATTCCTCTCATCGCCGATCCTTTTTCCCCCGCTCTGATTTTCTGATCGAGAGATTGGTAAATTACACTTAGCGTCTTACATTATAAGTCGATGCGCCTTGGAATAATAAGCGTCTAAATTTCAATACTCCGTCGCTGGTCAACCTCGTACAGAGGTCTGCACCGAAAGTCCTGCACCCGCACTAGTGCAGCCCTAACCCTACTTTCGGAAAGCGGCCCTGTAGAGGGGAAGCCTAGAAATATCTTCTCACAGCGCATGGATGGGACTTTAGGTACTTCTTTTGGCTTGATAGAGGCATTAAGCCCCGAAACCTGGCTAGGGCTAGGTGCGATTCCGAAGAACTCCAGACGCATTGTCCAGGTAGCCCTTTAGGTGGGGCGTTATCCGAAGTCTGAGCGCAAGAGTCTTGGCGGGTGCAGGACTTTCGGTGCAGACCTCTGTAGTGTGATGGTCTTCCACACCCACACCCACACCCACACCCATTCTCGGTCACATCGCCCATCTTGATGGAACAAGTTATGTCTCTCACCCGATCTTACAGCTGCCCGCAATCACACTCTTGGCCTACGAGCAAATTCACAAAGAGCAGATTTATTTTCACTTTTTGGTCAATTGGTTGATACCTGGTGGTGAGCGGGACAAGGTTGAATCGAACGACGGATGCCTCCGTAATTATTTCTTTCTTCTAACATGTGGCGTAGGTTCTCTTGCTCATGGCGATGAATAGCGCTGGCTCAGTACCTGCTCTGTTGGAGAGGTTGTCGTCGCTTGCGCCACTCATTGAGGAAATCTGCTCCATTGGTGGCACCCCGAGTGTATCTCTCGGAGTCATTGATCCGATCCTTGGCTTCTATCTTGCCAATTATGGCTACAGAGATGTCGAGCATGGGATCAAAGCCGATTCCGATACCGTCTACGGCCTCGGTTCGTTGACTAAGGCTTTTACATCGGCAGGGATCGGATCCCTTGTGTCGGACGGCAAACTTCGGTGGGACACCAAGGTCTGCGAGCTTCTTTCCGATATCGACAGTGTTGTACCCGTATTTAATGACCAAGCAACCATTGTAGATCTCTTGGCGCACAGGACATCTATCGCGCGGCCAAATGAGATCTGGTATGGCGCCGGGGGGGAGCTACTGCTCAGCAACGATCAATCAATCCCAACTTTCAATTCGTTGCTCCCGATTAGCCAATTTCGCGGTGCATTCCGATACAGCAATTGGGGCTACACACTGGCAGGCGATGTGATCGAACGGCTCAGTGGGGTGGGTTACAGCTCCTATCTCGAGAGTCGGATCCTTGACCCGCTGGATATGAAACGCACATCAGCGGATCGAGAACGGGTGCGAGATGACAACGTTGCCAGTCCCTACGCCGCGCTTGACAATGCTTCTTTCCACCCTTTGCCCGTGCCGAAAGCCTGTGATGGGAGCATCATGAACGGCGCGCAGGGGATGCGAGGGACGGTGAACGATTTGCTCAAGTGGTGTGCCGCTCTGATGGAAGCGCAGAGAGGGGATCTGGCCTCCCCAGCAGCCTCTGCAGACGCATCACCACTCCGGGGCATCGCGACACAGATGTCGAGCCATATAGCAATTTCCATGCCGCAATATCGCGAGACAAGCTACGGGCTCGGGTGGGCCCGCACTCAACTGCCGGGCACACTAGGATCGATCGGCTGCAACGGCATGTTTGTGAAGCAGATGCCCACCATCGGTCCGGCCACGCAGCAGCAGCAGCATCTAGTGCTTTACCACCAGGGAAGCTTGGCAGGTTACACGTCAGCCCTGCTGCTTCTCCCGGAGACGCGGCACGCCATCGTGGTGCTCACGAACTCCATTGGACTGGGCGACTGCGCCGACTGGATCAGCCAGCTCATCTTGGAGACGGTACTCGACAACCGCCGCCACGACTTTCCGACCCTCGCCCGAGAGGCCGCCCGCGGTAACATCCGCTTCAATGAAGCTATCGGCAAGAGCTTGGATCACCCCCCGTCCACTGCGAGGGGCCCTCCGCGACCGTGGCGGGCGTACGCCGGTCGGTACCACAATTCCGTAGGCAATTTCCGCCTCGATGTTGGTGTCAAGGACGGCCGCGCGCTCGAGGTGCGGTTCCAGGGACGGAACTCCCAGGCCTGGCGGCTTCGGCACTACGACGCCGACACCTTTGTCTGGTTTACCTCGCGGGACGACCTGGCGAGGCGCGCTAAATTTACCTACGCCGGCGAGGAGATATATAGGATAACGTTTGCAGGCGCCGAAGGTGGCCCGGCCGACTTCTTGTCATGGAAGCATGATCCAGATCTGGAGGCGCCAGAAGTTTTTGTGCGGTCTTAAAATGGTACACCTTGTCATATTGAGGACTGCTTCAAAGTGTTACGAGCGTACCCTTGACACACCACTCAGCCCTATGGCCTAGTGCCTTGGCAGGAGACATCTCCTACTATATCATGCCTCCTTCCTACATACATCGTTCGGTAGCCTTATTATTCTTATTCTACCTCACCTATACTAATATCGCATCTATGCTAGTCTTGATATAAAGAGCTAGAAAAGAGATAGAGAGGGTAAATTGAAAGTTAAAGTAATATCTATTAGATTATAATATAAACTAAAGCTATTTAAAGCTACGCGAACTCTAATATCTACTTTTTATAGCTAAATATAAGAAGTTTAAATATATAGTTTCTATATAGTAATATTAGAAACTTAATAATATATATAATAACTCTTTATTATTATTACGAGCGTATTCTTAATATATTACTTAATTCTATAATCTAATATCTTAACGAAGATATCTTCTATTATATTATATCTTCTTTTTATCTATATAATTTAATAGTCTTATTATTCTTAATCTATCTTATCTATACTAATATCGTATTTATACTAATTCTAATATTATAATAAGACTTCTTTATATACTTCTTCGACGAAGAGAATTAATAGATTTTTTACTTTCTACTCGAAGTAAGTAATCGAGTTATAAAGAAAACGCTAGATATTTCTATTATATAAAAGCTCTATTATATATTTAAACTATAAATTATCTATATTATTTAAAAGAATTTATATTAAATAATTTATATTATTAACGATAGTTTAATCTATTAAAAAACGAATTCTCTATATTAAATATAAGAAATTCTTCTTCGCTTTATTTTCTATAAAAAATCTATTATCGACTAATAGACTCTTAACGAACTTTCTACTATTTAAAAAAATACTATTTAGAATATTTATAGACTTTACGACGATTTAACTAATTAAGAAATAAGTATTATAAATTCTCGCGAAGAAATAACTATTTTAGATATTATAGCCAAATTTCAATACTTAATATAGAGATCTACCACCTTTCTCGACTCGTATACGTTTTCACAGTATCGAAGTTCTAGAGATCTCTTCTTTCTATCGATATTTATAATAACTCTTAACGGAGAAGCCTAGTTAAAATCGTCATTTTTTATATCTATCTTCTCCGCTCCGTTCTTATCTATATTTAATATATTATAAATTTCTTAAATTCTTACTTAATCCCACCTATATCAATATTAAAATATTACTTACTATATCGTCGTTATGAGAACGCTTTCTCTTTCTCTAGATTATAATCTTTTATATATCGTAACTAGTTATATCTTATATATAAAGACTTATATACGAGATATTTATTCTTATATTCGCTATTACTTCGTATATTATATATATAATAATCTCTATTTATTAAGAATCTTTATTAGCGATATTATAGAATATCGAGTTAGCTAGAAGAGAATTAAACTTAAGAAATCGAGATATAGACTTAAAACTCGACTAGTATCTCTATCTTCCCGCTCTTATCTTTATCTTTACTCTTATTTTTATCTTTACTCCTATTACGAGATTTCGAGATATTTAAAGTAATTTAATATCGATGAATCTAGCTATAATAAATAGCTAGATAACTACTTAATTTAAGATTATCGAATTTATCTATTTTTAATAATATTAATAAATTTAAATTCGAGAATTAGAAAAATAAGAATTATAAATAAACTTAGTCTTAATAAAGATTACTTTTCTATTAATAATTTTTAGATAAATTATATTATATCGCGTCTTAAAAGAAAGACTATTAAGTATATAATATCTAGATATCGAATAACTATAAAAAATTCTTATCTCTTAATTAATAACCTTTTAAATTAACTACGTAATCTTTATAAGACTCTATTAGATATTATTCGATAGAGAAATATTTATAATTACTTAATCTTTAAAAGATATAATAATTAGTTATTTTTAAATATTATATAGAGTTTATAAAATATATCGCGTATATATAAAAGTATAGCGATAAAGAATATTAGATTAATATTATTTAATTAAATCTTATAGTCGACTTAAGAGATAGAGTAAATCTTTATCTTTAAAATAAATATATTATATATAAAAAAAAGTGAATATTATTTAATTTAAAGAAATATTTTATTATATTATAATATTATAATCTAATATATATAGAGAATCTAATAAATAAGAAAATAAAGATATTTATTAAATAATATATTAAGATAAAACTTAAGAATATAAGTAGATTACGTAATAAATATACTATTATTTCTTATCTTAATTTAAAGAAATATAGACGATAGATATAAGTATATATAAAAGAATAAGATAGAACTAAGCTTAAAAATCTTAAATTTATATATATAGTTAATTATAAATTTAGAGTTATTACGCTCTTTAGTTAAATCGACTAAGTCATCGCGGGTATATAAATTAGTATCCGCAACTATTAAAATATCTTATTCTACTTTTAACCCTTTAATAACTTTACTATTTTCTATTATTTTTTTAAGATTATTTTTTTAAATTATAAAGCGTATATTACGCTTTTAAACGCTTTAAGAATTTCGAAATTTAATTTTATAATTATCAAAAGATAAGGCATTAAAATATCGCTTATTAAAGATCGCTTATTAAAGACCGCTCACACTCGATAGTCCTAATTAAAAAAAACGGTTATGAATTTAATTTATAGGCCTTTACTTGTAGTTATATAAATATATTAAATCTATAAATAATATAATTATAAGAATATAATAGATAAATATAATTAAGAATATAATAGTTTTATAAGTATAATCGAAATTAATATAAATATTAATAAATTCTTAAATATCGTACTTTTAAATAAATTGAAATTATTCGATATCTTTAAAATAGCCTTATCTTTATTTATTTTTTATATTTAAAAATCGATTTCTTAAGTTTATATTACTTATTAATAGTCTTATATTAGATCTATTAATTAAGCTTCTCTTATTTTTATATATCTAAACGTCTTTCGAAGCTATAATACGTTATTTATAAATCTTACTATTATTATTAATAGTCTTAATCGTTATTAATTAAATAATATTTTATAAAGAAACTTATATTAGATTATTTAATATTAATTTAAAATATTAGCGTCTACGGCTCGATTCGATTTAAAAGATCTCGATTAATTAAATTAAATTATTTTATTAATTTCTTCTTTATTATAAATATAAAATTAGATAATTACTATATAATAAATTCTTTTTTAATTACTATTTATTTAATTCTTTATAAATTTTCGTTAAATTAAGAGCTCTTAACGCTATAATAAAGTTCTATTAATAATATATAGCGATATCTTCAAGACGCGATATTACTATCGCCGTCGCCGTCGAAGAAAGATATTAATTTAATCTAGCATAGTATATTAAAAGTTCTTATTTTTTTAATTAATTTTTAGCGAGTAACTAGATTTATAATATATATATATATTAAATTTTCTTTAATTCTATTAAAGGATTATAGTAAGAAGACTAAATTAAAAGCTAGAGAAGAACTCGAAGAATCTTACTAGCACGTAAATGAGATATAGTCTATATCTCTAGAATCTCTAAAAGATTCTAGATAAATCTTCTCTAATTAAAGTTTATAAAGACTATAGATATTTAAAGATATAAGATAAATAATAAATCTATATCTTTAATTTATTAATTATAAAGATTATAATTATTTAAAAGAGAGAAGTAGTATTATAAGCGTACTCTTAATATACTACTTAGTTCTATAATCTAATATCTTAACTAAGATATTCTCTATTATATTATATCTTCTTTTTATATATATAATTCGATAGTCTTATTATTCTATCTATCTTACTTATATTAATATTATATCTATATTAATTTTAATAGTTAATATATATAAAAGAATAAGATAGAGCTAAATTAGAAAATCTTAAATTTATATATATAGTTAATTATTAATTCGAGGTTATTACGTCTTTTAATTAGATCGACTAAGTTATCGCGAGTAAATAAATTAGCGTTCGTAATTATTAAAATCGCGCTCTCTCGCGTCTCTCTTATTAAAAAAATAAGCGTATATTATTAATATATAAAATAATATTTTTATCTTCTATTAAAATTCTAAGATTTTTATTTTATTTTTAAAGCGCCGTTTATACTTTTCGAATTTTTAAGAATTTTAAAATTAAGTCTTATAATTATTAAAGCGTAAGGAATTCAAATATCGCTTATTAAAGTTCGCTTATTAAAGATCGCTTATTAAATTTACTCGATAGCTCTAATTAAAAAAAAATGCTATAAATTTAATTTATAAGTCTTTACTCGTTATAATATAAAGAGAATATTATCTATATAAAATAATTATAAATATTAGTATATATAAAAGAATAAGATAGAATTAATTTAGAAAATCTTAAATTTATATGTGTAGTTAATTATAAATTTGAGATTATTACGTCTTTTAATTAGACTAACTAAGTTAGCTCGCTAGCTCTCTCGAGCTTTCTTATTAAAAATTTATATATAGAAGTTTTATACTCTAAAATAACTAGCTTTCTACGGATGCTATTTCTTTATAATTTCGTAAATTATAGAGCTTAATATACGCTTTCTAACGCTATAAAAATAATAAAGTCTAGTTTACTATTAATAAATAAAATAAATAAAATAAATATTTAAATATAATAATTATAATAGCTATATTAGACGCGTTCGAGATCGAATAATAATTCTTTTATCTATTTATATAATTATTCTTCTTTCTTTTACTATTCTATTAATTCTATTAATTCTACTAATTCTATTAATTTCATTAATATAAATATAATCGTCTTCGATACCCCTCGCTTAAAGGTTACTTAATATTTTAGATATATATACTTCTATTACCCGCCTCTTAGAGTCTCTATTAACGCCCTTAAACTATCTCTTAATAAATTCGCTATTATTAATAATCGAGGTCGTAAGCGAGCTTAATAGCTATTTACTACTACTTATAAA